ACGCACGCACGCACGCACGCACGCACGCACGCACGCACGCACGCACGCACGCACGCACGCACGCACGCACGCACGCACGCACGCACGCACGCACGCACGCACGCACGCACGCACGCACGCACGCACGCACGCACGCACGCACGCACCCACGACCTTGAGTTTTGACACTGCATCGACTAGATTAGTGCTGTGTAGCAGCGTAGCACATGTGTGAGGGGTAGAGGAGGCCTGGCAGGGGAGCTGCTGCCTTTGGATTTTGTTTGCAGAGGGCGTGCAGCAGCAGTTTTTGGTTGCAGAGCCATGCGCGACGTCTTGTCCACAACTGCTATGCTTCGAGTTGACCAGTTGATTGATGTGCAGTGACGTGGACAGGCAACAAGTGGAGCACACGCTGGAGCATGCTCAAAAGCGAGCCCAGGAACTCGAAAAGGAGCGTCTTGGCTAGAAACGGAGACTTTGTCAAGTTCAGGGAGTGTCTTATCTATCTGGGCGTGTCACATGCGAGTGACATGCATTTCGAGGTTGCAATGGGAAGCCAAGAAATCCAAGTTCTTGAGGAGCAGGTGCAAGACCTGCAGTCTGGTAATGAGATCTTTGAAGAGGAGCGGCTGGGCTGAAGTGACTTCCAGGATACGTCTGCACAAAGGAGCCGAGAGGTCTGCAACAGTTAATGGAACGGCATCGCATCGTGGAATCAACGGGGCAATGAGCGCCGCTTGATGTGCATTTGTAGCAGCATGAATCTAAAATCTAAAGACGCTGATAATCCCTGGGCGTTCTTTCGATCGCCTCGTCGGCTGCAGACATGTCGCCGCCGCTGCCATTACTGCCGTGGTCGCTCATTTACTTTCACCCAGGACAACGAGCAATCTCGCCATTGAGCCGCGTGGCTTCATCAACTTCTTCTTCATCATCATCAGATGCAAGCAGCAATATCAGTTCACCGTCATCTCCATCGTGGTTTGCATCGCCGTCGTCATGGCGGTCATCCTTGTTTTGTTCATTGTCCCTCTCATCTTCCTCAAGCACTAGCCACTAGTGTGTCACCCTCAATGCCATTAGTCGAAGATCGTCCAGGCTCATTCCTTCATCGAACCCACAAACCGTAAGCCTTTGAGTGCGCGTTTCAATAGGGGTCTATCGTCACAGTTACTGATGCCATAGCCCAAGCTGTGCACATAAGACGTACTGCTGGCAGTTGCATTTTCTTCTGCCTTGGAAACCTCGGTGAAACTACAGCAAACGCACACAATCTTTTTGATGATTTACTCACGCACAACACAATTCCTATGAACACGCTACCGCTGCCGCAAAGAGAAACAACAGCTCTCCCGTACACCAAGTACGCCAGGACGAACAGGCAGCGCTGGCGATGTTGCGCCCCTTCGGCTCTTCAAGCTTTGGCTTCACCCACGAGCCTTTGAAAGTACGGTTTCACAGGTTCTGTTGCTAAGCGGTTCTTGCACACACATGTTCTTGCATGCGATCAGTGCTCAAATAGCTTCTTCCACATTTACGACGCTAAGTACAGAGGGTGATAAGTAACGCTACAGCTAGGGGTGAAGGGTACTTACGGACTTTGCAGAATAGGGTCGAGAGGCTTGGGATGTGCACGACTCCTGTTAGCCCCTATCTGGCTTTCCTGCCACTTGCATCCTATACAGAATGGCCCCTTTAACTCTAGCCCGAAGAATCCCCGAGACACCCCGCGAAGCCATAAAAACTACACACCGAACCTGAGCCCTAAAGCTCTAGGTTTCGAACCTTGAGCCTCTACAAAATGCTAAATCCCAAAGCTCCGAACACTCCCGTGAGGTGCGAAGCCCCACAGCTCTTAAACCCTTGAGCCTTGAAGCCTGAACTCTAATCCCCAAGACCCATCATGGCCCTTACGCGAATCCTGATTCAAGGCATCCGATTTTGATTTCAAGGGGTTCCTCTCGGCCTCAGAGTTCCATTTAGGGTTTAGGGTTCAGGGCATTGGGCATTGGATTTCGGGCATGAGGTTAGGGTTCTAGGCCTAGGGTGTAGGGTTTAGTGCAGAGCGCGTAGGATTTCGGGTTTAGGGTTCAGGGCATAGGACATAGGATTTGGAGTTTAGGGCATGGGTTGAGGGGATTGGATTTGGGGTTTACGGCATGGGTTCGGGGTTTAGGGCCTAGGGTGTAGGGTTTAGGGCATCGGGTTTAGGGCATGGGTTTAGGCAATAGGACATAGGATTTGGGGTTTAGGGCATGGGTTGAGGGCATTGGATTTGGGGTTTGCGGCATGGGTTCGGGGTTTAGGGCCTAGGGTGTAGGGTTTAGGGCATCGGGTTTAGGGCATGGGTTTAGGCAATAGGACATAGGATTTGGGGTTTAGGGCATGGGTTGAGGGCATTGGATTTGGGGTTTGCGGCATGGGTTCGGGGTTTAGGGCCTAGGGTGTAGGGTTTAGGGCATCGGGTTTAGGGCATGGGTTTAGGCAATAGGACATAGGATTTGGGGTTTAGGGCATGGGTTGAGGGCATTGGATTTGGGGTTTACGGCATGGGTTCGGGGTTTAGGGCCTAGGGTGTAGGGTTTAGGGCATCGAGTTTAGGGCATGGGTTTAGGCGATAGGACATTGGATTTGGGGTTTAGGGCATGGGTTTAGAAGAGTAATTGCTTTTAGGTTCTGAGCATGACCCGAGGCCTCGATGATCTTCTTACGAATGATGTCGTGCCGGAACAGCCAGCCGATTGAAGTTTGAAGGCCAAGGCGGAAAGGATTTCGGGACAGTTGAGTTTGTGGTCTGGGGCTGGGGTGAATTTTGGACGTAGGTTTGGGGGGTCGAGGAATTGGTGTTTGGTGCGTGAACAGTTTGTGCAGCCGTCCTGCTTTTGGAGTCGTGTCGCCTGACCTTCGATCATATATGGTCACGCGCTCCGCGGCCCCCCCCCCCTCCCCCCCCAAAGGTCAATGGTCTGGACATAGGGTGGGGCCCCCTTTTTCCTGTGGTGTGGGTTGTGGGTTCCCTCTTCCCCCTGTGGGGTGGTTGTGGGGGTTCTGGGGCTTTGGGTCTAGCTTGAGCTTTTGAGTTTTGGGTTTTACAAGGTATAAGGCTTCGAGTCGACAAGGGCTTAGGGAGGATTTGCGGTGTATGTTCTGCTTTGGGCTTAGAGCCTGCAGTTAGGTGGGGTTTAGGGTTGGGTGTACGGTTTTAAGTACAAGTTAAGGTTACTCAAAACAGGGGCACGCGCTGCGTTATAGGGTTTACGGCTTGCTTGCGAAGGGCTTGCGTATGAGCCCTGGCCGCCAGCACCACCCCACCGTGGCAGCTCCAGCGGCCCCGACCCCTTCCGCGCACGCCAGCCCCCCCCCCCCCCACCCCCTACCAGACCATACCATTGGGGTGGGGTGAAACACTGAATGTTACACATCCAGGTGCCTGTCTGTTTCACGTATCACTTGCATGTATCCATGCCTGTTGCTCAAGGTTCTAGTGCAGTGGACTACAGCTGTGCGCCTGTAGCAAAAGAGACACCTGAGTGCCTGTGTTCCTGTACGCCTAGCGAGGGGATACACGTCCAGGTTACATCTCAACGTGGTAGCGGAGCTCCCGGGAAACGGGAAGCTTCACACTTGTGGAGGTACCCGTTCGGTACACTCTACACAGGTGGAGGCAACCGGAATACCCGGTGTGCTTCACTCAGGTGAAGGTAGCCGGAGTCTCTCCGGCACACTTCACACAGGTGAAGATAACCGGAAGAGTTTTCTCCCGGGGCTCGATCCAAGAACAGCGCAATGGCTAGCCACTCTGCGACTATCTTTGAGCATGATGGAGGAGATGAAGACTACCTCCTTCACGGCAATGAATCTTACGCGACGAATCATCGTCATCTCAATGAACTACACCGTCTTTCAGCTTTCCAGCAGGTGACCACCAAAGTACCTCCATCTTATGATGGTAGAAGCAGTTGGTTTGCCTATGAAGATGCGATCGATGACTGGTGTGACATTACTGAGCTAGACAATGACAAGCGTGGACCAGCTTTGAGAAATCGGTTAGAAGGTGAAGCAGCAATCCACAAGAGGCTTCTCGACAGAGATCGCCTGAAGGACCCGAACAACGGAGTAAAGTACTTCAAGAGCTTCCTGCGGCCGCTCTTCGTGAAAGGAGCAGCGAATGTCTTTCTCTACCGCTTCCAGCAGTTCATGAACATGCACCGTGGGAACGGAGACATGCTCCGTTGGATTACCAGGTTTCAACTCTCTGTTCAGAGAATGCAAGAAGCGTGGAATGATACCTATCTGCCAATCGAAGACCCGAACAATGCAGAAGTCAGAGCTTTCATAGTAGGACTACCTCCAGAAGAACAAGAAAACATTACGCCAGCTCAGGCAATGGAGAGAGCCAACGAACGGCTCAGAGAGCAGCATGCTCGGACCATTCCGATCACGCCCAACCTGGTCGCCTTGATCTTTGTGTCTCTGTCTGATCTGACACAGGATCAACGGCAGGTGTTGACATCATTGATGGCACATCGGAACCGAGTCCTGGCTGACTACAACACGGCCGAGCTTCGCGAGGTCTACCTGGAGATCTTCTGTACGACCAAGACTACCGTCGATAACCCACTTCTCGCTCCTTCGGGCCACGGTGGCCGGAAGACGTTCCTTGTGATCGATGAAGGATTTCTTGACAATCATGAAGGCTACTGGGTCGAGGACGAGGAGGATGGCACGGAAGGGTTCCTCGAAGCGGATGAGGACGCCTTCTGGGTCTACGACGACGAGAACTACTCATGGTTCCAGCGGCGTTTCCAAGGCCGCAAGATGAAGCGCGGATTCAAAGGCCACCGCAAAGGCAAGGGAAAGGGTGGCAAAGGATCGAAAGGAAGGCGCTTCTTCAAAAGGAAGAAAGGCAGGTCCCATCTTGCCGAAGAATCAGAAGCATGGCAGGCAGAAGGACAGTGGCAAGATTACCAGTGGAACGATCAGTCTTGGGATGACTGGTCCTGGTACGAGTCTGAGGAATCCTATGCAGCCAAAGGAAAAGGTAAGAAAGGAAAGAAGGGCAAAGGAAAGAGCAAGTTTGGCAAGGATGGAAAAGATGGAAAGTCCGGAAAGGACGGACAGAGCCAGCTTGCTGATGCTGCCCCGAGCGGCACCACAGCCGCTACGACCTTCTTTGTTGAACATCTCAACACTCCGAACCTTTCTTTCATGGCCACCGAAGAGAAGATCAATGAGATCGAGGAAGCCTTCATCTCTCAGCCCTTGACGCCAACAGCGATGGTGTTGGACTTGGGATGCACGAGAGCAATGGCTTCGAGAGTGGCCGCACAGGACATCATGGAGTTCTGTGACAAAAATCAGAACTGCGGCATATGGTACACCATTGCGGAGACCACTTCTCAGTTCACCTTTGCCAATTCTGAGTCGACAAAATGCAACCAGAAGTTGGTCATTTGCATGTACGACCGGGACTTTGCAGTTCAATCCACAGAGTTCGACATTGTGGAACAAGGGCATGTTCCCATTCTCATGTCCTTACCTCAGATGCGCAATCTTCGTTTCCAGTTCGAGCTCCATCCGGAAAAGGCCTTGCTCAGCAGCCCTGTGCTGGGAATCAAGGATGTGAGGCTGAAGGTTGCACCGAGCTCACATCTGGTACTTGACCTTCTTGAACTCAGTCAGTTAATGTGGAATGTGCGTTTCAGCAAGCATAAGAAGTCGAGCTTCCTCACCTACTTCTCCCACTATGAGTACGGCTTCCATCAGAAGACCGAGGGATGCTCTTCTCAGGAAGAGGTACCCAAGAACTTCGCCTTGGCGACGGATGATGAGTGGGTGATCAATGAAGCCGACATGGAGATGATTCGCATCCACAAGAAGATGAGAAGGGTCAAGTACGAACCCAAGGCGGGTTTTGTGCCTATTCCGTTGGAGAATCTGGACACCAAGCGCAAGACGATCATGGAGTTCTCCAAGGGGAAGAGCGTTACTCAAGAAGATGACTGGCGTTCTTCTGAGCCTTCTTCAACAAGAACCGCTGACTCTTGGAAAGGCAAGACCATTTTCAAGATTCTGCCTGGTGGCATCGAGAGTAGAACCTCGGTGCCTGCTAAGACCAGGGATCCAACCCGTGGCAAGGTAGGATCCCCAGAGGATATGGTTAGCAAAGGTAAGCCTGAAGACAGCTCGAAGAACACAGGAGCATCCGGAAGCTTTCCTCAAGGAAAGGTACCGGAGAGAAGGAGAATCAGAGCCAAGGGAAGCTTTCCACAGGGAAAGGAACCCAAGGAATCGGCTCCTCCTCCTCTTGCTCCTGAGGATGATCCGGATCTTCAAGAGTACGAACCGTCCGAACCGGGGGATGCAGATTTGCTTCCTCCGAGGGCCCCAGAGCCACAGTCGCTAGAACCTAGGAGGATCGCGCTTCCATTGCCAGGCCACGAGGTCTCAAGGGCTTCTCCGCAGTATCAGCGCATGTTGGAAAAGCTGAACAATGATGTTGAGCTTTACAAGTTGCATGTGAAGCATTACCACATGAGTCCTGCTCAGTTTCGACGCAGGACAAGCATGCTTGGGCTGCCAGGAGAGATCTATGACAAGTACGACCGCATTGTCAAAGGCTGTCGTGTTTGCAGCACCTCCGTGCCTACGCCTCCGCGAGCCAGAATCGCAGGGTTGAGAGCATCATCCTTCGGTGATCTCATTTTTGTTGATCACGAACAAATTAAGTTTGGTACCAAAGCCTATCTGGCTCTGGTTATCATTGATGGTGCTTCAAATCTTCTGTGGGCTACGGCTCTCACAAGCCTGGAAGCGCCAGAGACTCTGGGAGCGTTCCGACAATGGACAGAGGAGAACAACTGCGTTCCTAAGGGAATCGTAGGAGATCAAGCATTTTTCACGCCACAGTTCATGTCCTATTACAAGTTCCATGGCATTACTCCGTATCCATGTGGACCGCGAACTCCTTGGCCTAATCGAGCTGAGACCGCTGTGCGTCTTTTCAAGCGCACGTGGGCCATCATGGCGAAGGCCTTGGCCGATGAAGGTTATGCAGAAAAGGTGACTGTTCGTCAAGCAATCAAAAAGGTGGCATGGGCAAGGAATTGCCAGCTTACGGTCTCAGGCTATTCTCCTTTGGAGATAGCGACTGGAAGACGTCCACCAGACTTGTTTGACGTTGAGAACAGTTCTCCTGAACAGCTCTCTGCTGAACCTGCCGAGGAGGATCGAACCACTCTGGAACTCCAGAGGATTGCCATGCGGGCTCATCAAGAGGCCAGACAATCACTTGACCTTCGGAAGGACCTTGCACGAAGAGTTATGCCGTCTGATGGTCCTTACTCGAAGGGTGATCGCGTGTTCGTATGGCACAAGGATGAGTCGAAGAAGAAGTCTGAAGGAACCTGGGTCAGAGGTATAGTTGTGTCACAAGAAGGTGCCATGGTGTTGGTTGAAGTTCATCGTGCCGTTCTTCGGGTTAATCAGTCGAAGGTCAGGCGTGATGGAGATCCGTGGCATGATGTGGCCATTCCTCTGAAGAAAGATGAGGTCCCGAGACGCTCTTCTCAGGAAGAGGCACTCGACCGCATCGGCGACGATATTCTTGATCGTGCCGGTTCTGGGTTCTGCTATGAGCATGAGATCTGTTACCACACTCTCACTTCAGGCAAGAGCGATTTCGTTGAGATCACACCTCGCCTCACTGGGCTTACTGCGTGCACTGTCCATT